GTCCGCCGCCACTGCCACCTGCAACCACCTCGTCACCTGCCTGTGCAGGGCCCGCCACAGGCCGCTGGCTCTCATCCTGCCGCTTGGCCACCTTGGCCGCACGCCTCGGCGACTGCGAGGGCGGCGTCAGCTCGGCCAGCCTCGGTGAGCTGCTGCGCACTCGCGCACGGCGCCGAGGAGGAGGAGGGAGGAGGAGGACGAGGAGGAGGAGGAGGAGGAGGAGGAGGAGGAGGAGGAAGAGGCACCTGTTGCTGAAAAGCCTGCGGGTGCCTGGGCTGCTGGAGTCTGCCCTCCCCGGGCCTGCCTCGCCCTGTGCAGTGGACTGCCCGCCGTCCGGGGCTGCCCGGCCTCGTCGCTTGGCTGCCTTCCTCGGCGTGCTCGGTCTCGTCGGCTGCCTTCCTCGGGCTGCCTTCCTCGGGCTGCCCTCCTCGGGCTGATTGGTATCCTTCCTCGGGCTTCGTGGCTGCCCTCCTCGGGCCGATTGGTATCGCTTCCTGGCTGCCTTCCTCGGGCTGCCCGGTCTCGTCTCCCAGCTCTGCCTTCCGCGGCCTGCTCGGTCCTGCTTCGTGGCGGCCTTCCTCGGACCAGTTTGGCGTCGTTTCCAGGCTGCCTTCCTCGGGCTGCCCGGTCTCGTCTCGGAGCTGCCCTCCTCGGCTTGGTGGGTGCTTGTTGTATCCGGCGTTTCGGCATTGGGCGGAAGGAGGGGGGGAAGGGGGGGGGGGCGGTTCTGTCTCCGACCCTCTGCTCAGCGCGACTGTTTGCAGGAGTGCGCCCCAGGGGGGAGGGACTCCGCCCGCTCGAAGCAGGCGCCCAAAACAGCCAAGATCCATCCACTCCACAGGGGGGGGGGGGAGGGGGGGCTTGGGGCCCGCGCCGATCGGCAAGACCATGAATAAAAAAGCGATCACTTGCCTGGTCTTGTTTCGTGGCTGCCGCCCTTTGAGCAGGGACCGACCGTCCTGGCATTTCTATAGGCCTACCACGAAATGCTCTTCGGTCCAAAAGACGTCCGAATAACAAAAACAACTTTCTTATAACATAAGCCCGATGCGTTGAAACAAGACAGTCTCGGCAAGACATGTTCTAAGAAAATTTCGTGCAGACCACAAAAAGTTCTTAGAACATTATTTGGTGGGCCTATAGGCGAGCCAGGGCGCTTCGCCACTGCTTGATTCCTCGGATTGATTGGCATAGTTGTTTGGTTACCTTCCTCGGGTTGCTTGGTCTCGTATCTTGACTGCATTCTTCGGGTTCCCTGGTCTTGGTTCCTGGCTGCCTTATCCGCCGACCCTGTCGGCGTGTGTGAAACGCTTTTCCGTTTGAGTCGTCGTCGTCGTCGTTGTCGTCGCCTCCCCAAGCGTCGTTCCAGCCAAAAGGAAATCGAGCAACGCCGTAATTCAGTCGAAGGGCTTCCCTTTGATCCCTCACCCGTTGTGGGGGAGCGGGGGCGCGGGAGGGGTGGGTTGGGGGTGACCCCCCCTTGGGGGGAGCACCCCTCCCTGGGAGAAGTTTTCCCCTTCAATGTCTTGCCTCCCAGGCGCCTCGAGCTCACATGTACCGCGGCGTGCTCCTAGAGGATCCTGAAATAGCCGTAGATCGCTCCAAGATAGCCCAAGGCCCTCTTACGACGGCTTCAGAAACCCCCAAGACGCCCCAAAAGAGCTCCAAGAGGAGCCAAAAGAGGGCCCCATGAAGCGGAAATCACGCATGTAGAATCGATACGTCTGTGTGTTCCGCGTCCTCGCCTTGTTTGTCGGGCTTCCGACCTGTTTGTGTATACGTGTGTATACTCGTACATGTGTACGTGTGTGTGTATGTATGTATGTATGTATGTATGTATGTATGTATGCATGCATGCATGTATGTCTGTCTGTCTGTCTGTCTGTCTGTCTGTCTGTCTGTCTGTCTGTCTGTCTGTATGTATGTATGTATGTATGTATGTATGTATGTATGTATGTCCGCCGGCCCCCTTGTGGGGCCACCAGGCTGTAGGCCCGTGATTCGCAGTTTCCTGTACCAGTCGTAGTTTGTAGTTTCCAGTGTTGCAGTTCTGCTTCTTGCTGGTTACTGTAACTAGTTGATTGACCGTGCGAGGGGGGGGAGGCCCAAACTGGATTTTTAGCGTCTCCTGGGCGCGTTGTCTGAATTGCTGGGGGGGCTCGAACTCAGGGTCCAAAAACACAGGGGAGTTGCCACATTTCTGAAATTCGGTGCCACCCCTCACGCAGATCAACGGGGTCAGGGTCCAAAAACACAAGGGATTTGTCACATTTCTGAAATTCGGTGCCACCCCTCACGCAGATCCGCGGAGTCAGGGTCCAAAAACATAAGGGATTTGCCACATTTTTGAAATTCGGTGCCACCCCTCACGCAGATCCGCGGGGTCAGGGTCCAAAAACACGCGGGATTTGCCACATTTCTGAAATTCGGTGCCACCCCTCACGCAGATCCGCTGGGTCAGGGTCCAAAAACATAAGGGATTTGCCACATTTTTGAAATTCGGTGCCACCCCTCACGCAGATCCGTGGGGTCAGGGTCCAACAACACAGGGGATTTGCCACATTTCTGAAATTCGGTGACACCCCTCACGCAGATCCGCGGGGTCAGGGTCCAAAAACACAAGGGATATGTCACATTTCTGAAATTCGGTGCCACCCCTCACGCAGATCCGCGGGGTCAGGGTCCAAAAACACAGGGGATTTGCCACATTTCTGAAATTCGGTGCCACCCCTCACGCAGATCCGCGGGGTCAGGGTCCAAAAACACAGGGGATTTGCACATTTCTGAAATTCGGTGCCACCCTTCACGCACATCCATCGCAAGGCGTGGTAACCCAAACTGCGAGAACTCCCTCGGCCCTTTAATCGCAAGGTGTGGTAACCAAGCCCGTAAACCATACACGTCTTACCAATCGCCAGGTGTGGTAACCCCTCTTGTGATCAGTTGGTTTTGCTGATTGCGAATCGGCTTCGCATGAAGTTTCGATACTGCTTCACGACAGCGCCAAGGCCTCATGACTTAGCTCTTCCATGGCCCATTCTCCGAGAGAGGGGGCCGGCGGCAGGGGGCGAAGCCCTTACGGATATGTATGTATGTATGTAGGTAGGTAGGTAGGTAGGTAGGTCGGTCGGTCGGTCGGTCGGTCGGTCGGTCGGTCGATCGGTCGGTCGGTCGGTCGGTCGGTCGGTCGGTAGGTAGGTAGGTAGGTAGGTGTATTTATATATGATATGTGTATAAAGGTGGGGGGGGGGGGGGGGCGGACTCTTGGGGGTCCCCTTGGGGCCTCTCTGGGGCGTCTCGGGGGCCTCTTCGGCGGTCTCGAGGCCGCGTCGTCGTCGCGGTCGTGCGAGGGGGAAGCGGGGGGAGGGAGAGGAAGGAGAGTGGAGGGAGAAGGATCGAGAGGGAGGGAGCAGGGAGGGAGGACCAGCACGAAGCGAGGGCACGATGGAAGGAAGGAGGGAGGAAGCAGCGGCTGACTGGGGGCTACGCTTCCATCCTCGTCCTCGGTCGCCTCATTCCGTCCGCCCTCATCGCCCCTTTTTGTCACCCTCATGCTCATCCTCATCCCCTGCCTCTGCCCTCCGTCTCCTCCTCCTCCTCCTCCTCCTCCTCCTCCTCCTCCTCCTCGTACTGGCTGGCATCGGGCCCAGCAATAGGCCTCGAGGCAAGGACTGGAGAGTCATCAGGTCCCCTCGAGTTCTCTGAATGGAACATTTTGAACACATTGCGAGGACTGGCACGAGGAGGCGATCGAGGAAGAGGAAGTGGGCAAGGACGACGACGGCGACGGCACATTCGACTTCGACTTCACTTCGACGACGGCGACGACGACGACGACGACGACGACGACGACGGAGACGGCGACTTCGACAACGACGCCGGCCTCGACGAGGGCGAGGACAAGGACGACTTCGACGAGAGGGCGAATATCCCGAGCACGGGAGGAGCGCGCCGACGAGGACTCTGTCTGCCCTGCCCGGTTCCCACAGGGCGGCCAGGTCTCCTCCCGCTGGCGGCGCGCGAGGCAGGCGCGCCAGGCGCACTGTATCCGGATGGCCGCGTTCTGCCTCCTGAGGGCGGCCCAGGGACCCCGAAGCCCTCTCCCCAGGGGGGGCAACAGGCCTCCTCCTCCTTCCCTCCTCCTCCTCCTCCTCCTCCTCCTCCTCCTCCTCCTCCTCCTCCTCCTCCTCCTCCTCCGCCTCCGCCTCCGCCTCCTCCTCCTCCTCCCCCTCTTACCCCTCTACCTCCTCCTGTTCCTCCTCCTGGCCCTCTTGAGGGCCTCTTGCGCCGCCTCGGGGCGATCTCGCAAGTTTTTGGGCTGTTTGGGACGCTGCCACGACACAAAAACGAATCTGCTAACAATGTACGTTTCCTTGGGAGATGGAACGATGTTTGCTCTTGGGGCCTCTCCTGAAGGCCTCTTGGGGCGTCTCTGGGGCCTCTCGGGCTGTCTTGGGGGCTCCTTGGGCCGTCAGAGGCTGCTTGCGCTGCCGTGGGGCTCTCCTGAAAAACTTGGGCCCTCGTGGGGACCTCACATGCCCCTCGTGGGTCTCTCTTGGGAGCCTTACGGGGCCTCGTGAGCTTATTTCAAACCGTCTTGTGGCAATCTTGGGGTCCTCTTGGCCCGGCTTGAAGCCCTCTTGGGGGCCTCTTGGGCCGTCTTGGGGCGATCTCACAGGCTTCTTGGGCCGTCTCGGACGCCGCTTCCACACAAAAAGCCGAGATCCTAAAAATGTACGTTTCCTTCTGGGGAATGGAGCGATGTTTGCCTCTTGGGGCCTCTCCTGAAGGCCTCTTGGGGTGTCTTTGGGGCCTCTTTGGCCGTCTTGACGGCCCCTTGGGCCGTCTTGAAGCCGTCTTCCGCTGCCGCGGGGCCCCCCTGCGCCTCTCCGACCGCTTCTCTGATCTCTTTGCGCTTGCTGGCAAGGCCCGGCAAAAGCGCCCTGGGAGGCGCGGCAGGGCTGGGGGGCCTCGTCCAAGGGCGTCCAGGGGGGCCCAAAGCTCCAGATCCTGGTGGTCCTGTTGCTCTGTTTGGGGGGGGACGGTTTTTCCCGGCACCCCGGCTGATAAACATGTATGAAGAGGAATGCATGCATACACATGTGTGTGTGTGTGTGTGTCCCTCTCTCTCTCTCTCTCTCTCTCTCTCTTTGTTGTTTGTCTCTCTCTCTCTCTCTCTCTCTCTCTCTCTCTCTCTCCCCCCTCCCCCTCATACATACCAGCATACCATCATATCATCGTGCCCTCGTCCTCCTCTCTCGCATCTGGACTGGCACCCCTCCTTCCCTGTTGCCCCACCTCCCTCCCTCCCAGCTTGCTTCCGTCCGTCGCCCTCCGCCCTCGCGAGTGCGTCCATCGACCCACTCCTTCCTTGCCGTCCTCCCATGCGTCCATCCCTCGAGATCCATCCGTGCCCCCGTGTCAGGGGGCAGACGCCGAAGCGTGGCGGACTGCAGCGCGGGAGGGGAGGTCGAGCACCCAGGACAGCCACGAGTGGGGCGCACAGAGACACACTAGTACGATATGTCCTCCTGGAAGCGCGCGTCCGACCCGAACATATATGAAGGGGCCCCAGGACACACAAATAAATACACACACATAATAATATTCCCCAAATGTTCCCATATGTTCTGGGTTTTTGTCTTCCCCCCCACTTCCCATATTTTCCCATATTCTCTGGGGAATCGACGATTAATTGTGTCTGTGTGTTCTTCCCTCGTGAATATAGTACACCCATCTTGTAGCACATCATTTCCCCAGCGGTGTGGCCAGAAAACGCCACCCACGACGCACATGCTACAAGATTTCCCAGTGCGAGCGTCGCCCCTGAGGGGGGCGACGCACACATAGTATCAGTATGTCGGGGTGACGACGCACAAGTGCTAATGCCAGAAGGCAGTGGGTGCCAAATCCAGAGGCGTGAACTGTGCAGAGAGGACGATCGTGCGGTCGTGCCTTAGAGGAGTGGGAAGCCGCGCCTGCGGAACCTGAAAAACTCATCAAAAATGAATTGACGGTTTTTGTGTTCAGTGCTTGCGTGGTCGGCACTACTCCAATGCTGGCATGAAATATTCGGCCCAGACGCAAGGGTGTCCGAAATCCGGCAGCACCCTCACCGCATTGAAGAACGCGTTTTCTGACAGGTGCCCGAACTATCGAGCGCTTCGATTTTGAGCAGCGCTTCTTCAAATTATGTTTGCGAGGCTTGTAGGTGACCTAACTTCGCGCATCGCGATCCGCGATTCTTTTCGCGCCCTCGCGCCCCCCCCGACGCCCCCTTGGAGAAGGGCAGCCTCTCCGGCCGAGGCAGCGACGCGCGAGGCGCGAAGACATGCTCTCGCGCCCCCGGGGGTGACTTCACTCGGGGACGGCCGACCTTGGGAGGCGGCGCGACGCCCGCAAGCAGCTCGTAGGAGCGCGTTTCTTTATTTTCGGCGAGCATGGGCATTATAGGTGGGGGGGGGGGCGGGGCCAGGGGGGAGGATAACGCAGCGCCTCCCCCCCCGCCGTGCGCACGGCGGCAGTGCCCGGAGCGCACTGGGGAGGGAGGAGCGTTACGTTAAAGGGGGGGGGGGGCCGGGGGCTATAATGCCCATTATGCCCCAAGCAATAACGAAACACGCTCTAGCACCGGGTAGGGCGGTCTGCGAGGCGGGTCTAGGGATGCCAGGTTCAAGACCCCCCTTGCGCTGCGAAACAAAAATCGCGACGGGGGGCTTGTCGCTATTTTCCGCCTCTGGGGGCCCTTAGTAAGGGTCCCAGCCTCGGGACCGTCAAAAGACGCCTCGGGACGAACAGCCAGTCCCAGGGACGGTGCCCCAGGCCTCTGATAGGGGAACAAAAAGTGGCATAAACATAAAAACTCGGAGGTCCGCGCGGACTTCTCGGATCGGCGCTGGGCCCCCCTCCCTGGCGCGCAGAGCGCGCCAGGGGCGGCGCCGGAGGCGCCGCTAAGGGGCCCCAGCGCCGATCCGAGAAATCCGCGCGGACCTCCGAGTTTTTATGTTTCTGTGCCTTTTTGCCCCCTGAGGATGAATCCTGTGTAAAGCTGCACACGGCCGCGCGAGGGCGCGCTTGTTGTGCTGCGAGGCGCCGGGGGTGCGGCTGCGCGAGGGCGAGAGGGAGCGGCGCAGTCGGGCAGCACCTTCTCCTCCTCCTCCTCCTCCTCCTCCTCCTCCTCCTCCTCCTCCTCCTCCTCCTCCTCCTCCTCCTCCTCCTCCTCCTCCTCCTCCTCGACCTTTTCCCTCTCCTCTCTGCTCCTGCGCTCGCGTGCCGGCAAGAGGAGGGGCGGCGCCGCAGCGGCTCCCGCTCCGGGCCGGCCCGACGAGCCTGTCGAGCTGTAGGGGCCGGCGACAGCTCACAGAGCGAGCCGGCAGAGCAAGCTCGGCTGTCGGGCATCACAGGCGCCTGAGATCGCCAATTACGTGTATTGTGAGGCAGAAGACGGGGCGGCGCCGGGGAAGCGGCGGCGACGGTTGCAGGGGCGTCCAGCCTCGAGCCGCCGCCGCCGCGGCGATGCCAGAAGAAAAACGGACGCCAGAGCACACAAACTTCTTGCGCCCCGCGCGGAGCTCGGGCAGCTCGCCCTGGGCACCCCTCCCTGGCGCGCTCCGCGCGCCAGGGGCGGCGCCGGAGGCGCCGCCGAGGGGGGCCCCAGCGCGGAGCCGAGAAGTCCGCGCGGAGCGCCACAGAGTTTTTGCTCGTCCGTGGCGCTCTCTTCCGCCGTCGAGGTGCGCTCAGACCGCCACGGCCGCCGCCGGGAGCGGGGCCAGGGCGGCCACGGGCGGCCCGGGGGCGGGCCGCTCGGGGGCGGGCCGCCGCGCGGGGGGCCCCAGGCCCGCGGCGCGGATCAGCGCGCGCAGGTCGCGGAGCCTCCAGGCGTCGCGGACGGTGGCCGAGTCCTTCCCGAGGATCCCGAAGGACTCGTCCACGCCGTTGAACTTCTCGCCGTTGATGGACCAATCGTCGGCGGCGAGCGAGGGGGGGAGACGAGGAGGAGGAGGCCTTCTCAGGAGGCGGCGGGGCCTCTCAGAAGCCCTCGCGCCTTCTGAGAGGTCTCTTGCGTCTTCGGGGAAGGCTGAGGACACTTCTCAAAGGCCTGGGGACTTCCGAGCCTGCTGAGAAGGCTTTCTCCTTCTCACTTCCCCCCGGGCTCGCCGCCGAAATAGGCCCAGTCGAGCTCCTTCGCCAATATGCCCGCCACTGTGCCCCCTGACACCTCGAGACGGGGTAGGTGCGGTCTGGTAGAGCTTCTGGCCGACCCCTCTCCTCATTCCTTGCCGCGTGCATCATCGCCCCCTCCGCCCCCCCTGCGGGGACAGCAAGCGACCGCAACCACATCGAGAACGCACCCTGGCAGCTGTTCTGCGCATGCCGGCAGTCGCAAAGACACCGAAACCAGCTCAGTCCCGGTCGTGGTCGACGTGGGCGTCCAGGACGGTCACATCGACCACAACCACAACCCAGGTGTTGGTGTCGAGGTCGGCGGGGTCTCCCCCAGGGGGCCCTTCAGAAAAATCCACTGCATTATGGTTGTGGGTCTTTCTTGTGCCCAGACCCCCCTCCCGTACATGGACATGAGATTCGAACCCTGAGGCCCAGGATGCCCCCAGTCCCCGCGAAATTGAAATTGATGGCGTGACCACGGGGGGGCGTGAGTGGACAGAAATATTCGAACCCCAAAGCACCGCCTTTACTGGGCCCCGCTGGCGCATCCCGCTGGCGCATCCCTGGGGCCCCGATGGCGCATCCCTGGGGCTCTCGGGGCCCCTCCACAGCTTCCACAGGCGACCCAGGAGGGCCACCGGGGCCGCCAAGATGGTCCCGCATGGCCTCAAGAGGAACCCGACAGCTCCCAGGATTGATGGATTGATGGGGCAGCTGATGGCGGTAGCTGTGGCTCTGTGACTGATATGTGCGGCAATAGACAAGCGCGTTCCACGACTTGCAAAGTAGCTAGCTGCAAGCGGCCTGGATCCGACGCGGGGCATTTACGATCCATTATATAGAGGAAGACATGCTTTTGTCTGATGTTTGCGAGCAGGCACTTTGCGAGTAGTGGAATGGGACG